CGCTGAATCAACGCTGAGGCGAGTAAAGGGTGTTGCGTTCTAAACACTTATTCAAGACTTGAAAATTATGACGAGTGGCTTGAAATTCTCAAATGCATCGTGACAGCTGCCTTCAGTGCATCAGCCGGGAACAAAGTGTAGACGGGTTTGCTGAAGTTGGGTGTCATCTACGTGTCTCTTCGTCTGTCCCAAAAGTGACCATTCCAAATCCCGCTTTAGTCGAGTTGCTCCACTTGCGTCGCTCCCAAATCGCCAACTAGAACTAGTGGGTAGAGCGCTTTTCCAAGTATCGCTCAGCAAACAGTGTACCTTTTCGCGACAACGCCGCACCTCACTTCCTTGGCAGCCAACTACAGTTTTGTGTGGCTCAAAAACACCCCCGTTGCACTGTCCTCTCATCAGTAGTCGCTTCCTCCGCTTCTCTTCGTGTTCAAGGCTCCTATAGGACCTAAGAAATTCACGGACTATCCTGAGGTATGTACCAGTAGACGAACACATAAAAGACCCTTCTAGGTATTCAACAAGCGACTGCTCTGGGACATTTTCCGGCTTCTCCAGGAGAATGAAAAATGGCTGGAGAGCACTGAGCACGATTAGCGGCTTGTAATGTTTTAATAGAATTTAATGGTGCTCCAACCAGGACGCCTACCATAGACTCATACCCATAAAACATTTTTAGGTTGTACTCGATATGAATGACCTGCGGTAATTATGCATATGGACGACCATCGTGCGAATCGACTCCGTCACTGGACTAGTCACTGAAATGGTTATCATTTTAAATGTTTGTAGTCGAAATAATAAACCTAAAGCGACTCACTTTGTTGCGACTCGCCTTCATGGAGTTGGTGGAAGATGATGAGCTAAAAAATTTATTGAAGTACTCAATCATCGAAATACTGCAGTAGTCTTTTGAAGCCTATTTATCTACATACCAAAAGTGCGTGGGGCGCCCATGATCCTATGGACATCTTCAAATTCAGAGAATTTAGGGTGGACACGGCCCGATCTAGCGTCAGCGGTGTAAGCATAGCAGTCTTCATACAGAAGGTGACCAGCATGATTCGATACATTTCAGGGCGGAGCAAAAGACGTCGCCAAACAGAAGGGAGATATCAGGCACTAACACCACCCCTCCTGGCCTTTCAAGGGAGAGCCCTCAACCCAGAGCTGCTTACGAGCCAATCTTTCTCGTCCTTGCCTGCTTTATCTGCCTTTCTTTGGAGTTATTATGCCCCATTGCACAATGTATTTGATGTATGTTTAACTGCTGATATTACGACCCGCTCTGATGTTTC